ACTTCAGTTTAATTCAGAATCTGCATTTTTTGTTGAGAAGTTTCAAGCCTCCAAATTGTCCCTGGTGAATGTCTGTTTTTTCATGTAAATTCAAAATTGGTTTGTGTGAAAAATGGATTTTTTTAAACATGAATTTGCTTCAAGTTTGACCTTTTTGCTGCACTAAAAATATCAAGTAAATATTTCAAATGAAAAATGTCAGCTATTTATTTTTAATGTGTTAATCGTTCAAGTGAGAGAAGCATGATGATGCTGACCTTTGTTCATCACTAACATAAATTATAGGGTGATATTGTGCCATGTATGAATATATCTTGCCCATCAGTTCAGGAATTGTATATGAACAGGGAAGTGGGTGAATGCAAGAATCATACTACATTTGTACAAAGAGGGTTAGAGGTGGAAGGAATGAGTGTAAAACAATCTTAGAATGTATCGGTTCTATATTTGTGTTCTGCATTTGTAACTTTTAAATCTTTTAGACAGCCTTGACATCACTGGGAATGAACAGTTTTTGCAATTCAATTTAATGTTCTGCTACTTATATTCTGCATCTTTAAAAATAGACTGGAATTATTAAAGGCACTAACAATCCTATTGTTAGAATCCGCACTGTCTGCTTAGAATGTTCATGCCTCCAAATTGTCCCAAGTCCCCGTCTAATGGCTGTTTTATTCATGCAAATTCAAAATGTGTTTGTGTACAAAATTTGTGTTTTTAACCTGAATCATCAATATTCGATCATTTGTACAGAAAGCTCTGAAATTGAATGAGGCTACAGATAATGCATTTCATCCCATGCAAAACTAAACCATGAATTTACTGCGTCTTTGCTGTTGACTTTGGTCAACCTGAATTATTTCAACACCGGTTTTGTTTCCCAAACAGACCAGATATTGTCTATAACAACAATATTATATTTGTAAATTTCAACCAGTTTGGGGTGGATTTGTTTCCATGTTTGGAAAATGAGTCAAATGAATACAGCATATAGTAATACTTAAAGTTGCAATATCTTCTTTCAGTCGTTCACTATTGCCACAAATGCAAGGATTATTATAAAACACATAGTAATCTATGTTCTACATAATTTATGGCCAGAGTTCAGACTTATGTTTTCTAAACATTTGGTGATTGTCACAAACAGCAGCAGAGTGCTGGCTCCTTTTATAGTAGCAAACCATTTGAACTAAAGTGCTATTGGATTAAAACGGATGCCATGTGGTGTATAGCATGCTGTGGGACAAAATGTACATGGGATTTGCACGACTACCCTATCAATCAATTCAAACAATGCCAAATGTGAGGAATGAGGTAGTTTCTTGGGAACGTTAAATTATTAACCAATTTTATACATTTATAATTATGTGATTCTATAAATATGATTTACTGTATTTAAAAAAGAGGGATTGTCAACAGATTTAATTGTGTGTTTTGCATGCTTTTTGTGTCACCAAATGAAGCTTTAGAAAAAGCTTTGCCCAATGTTTTTGTTTCTCTTCCAGTAATATCTGTGATTTCCATTTACTCTTGCATCTCAAAGAAACCTGGATATTATGATCATCTTCTTTTTGCTTACCAAGAAAGGAGAATGTAGTTATTTCTATACATGAAGTTTTATCTTGCTGCCATATTTTAATCACATGTATGTCACACACACAAATTTTGGTTAAATGGGTTTTACAGATTAGTGTTTTTTCGGAAGTTTGTGAAATGTCAGCAGACAACACCGTTTCAGCCCTGAAGCAAACTACACTGAGATTAATTGTGCAAATGGACATTTCCTTGACAACCCCCTGACAACATGCTGATGACATAATTTCTGACACAAGTTAATATTAGAGGCATAAACCAGACGGCCTTGCAGTGGATTTGTAAGTGCTTGAAACATTTGCTCAGTTGAGCATGTTAATCACTGTACAGTGTGGTTTGAGCTCAGACAACATGTTCATTGTTCGCTGCTGATTGATGAGCTTTTTGTAGCTTTTTTTCTTTGAGCATTAAGACCACTGACTTGAAAGCAATTTTTGTACATCTCTGCCAATGTCAGCGATTGTAAACTTCTCAATCCATTGATGATATCTCAAGGCTGAAGGTTGTTAGGGTTGCATGGGCCTGTTAGCCTCGGAGCCAAATGTTTAGTGCAAATAGTTGCCAGGTGGAGGAAGCTTCCAGAATTTAATTGAAAGAGCTGTTGAGTAGTATAGAGATTACAGAAAACTATTGTCAAGCTGTGTTATTGTACTAGAGGGGGATTTGTTACTGATATTATGGAGCAAATGGGGTTGTTTTTAGCTTTTTGTAACAATACAGAATTAAAATGGTAACTTGATCAGCATTGATAATTTTTAATATGAAGATGGTTCAAGATGAACTAATCTATATTTCAGGGGACATTGCAGGCACAGGACTGCAGCTAGGTATTCTGTGAAGAGTGGCTCACCTACTAACTCCTCAAATTCTCTCTCCTCTGCCTACAAGGCTCAAATCAGAATTGTGATGAAATATTCACCACATGGATGGTTGGTGCTCATGTGGATGGGTACCGTTAAAAAAACACTTGAGAAGCTTTAACACCATCCAGGAGAAAACTGCTTGTTTGACCAGCATCCTAACCTCTCAAGACCGGATTCAGTCCCTTTCTCACTAATGCAATGTGTCTGCAGTGTCTCCGAAGCTACAAAATGCACTTCAGCAATTCACCAACCTTGCTTAAAGCCCTCGAGCTTGCGTGTCATCCTTGAATGGGGTGGCTGTATGGTACATTTGGAACAGTATAAAATGGAAAACTAAAAAAAACATAACATTGTTTCTTTTTATATAAACATTCAGGTTTCTGGTTTCGAACTTGACCTTGACACTCGAATGCAGAGGTGCCGTACTTTGGATGAGACGTTAAACCCAGATCCCATCCGTCTGTTCAGGTGGATGTTAAAGATCCCATGGCACTATTTAAAAAGAGAAGGGAGTTTCTCCTGGAATCCTGGCCAACAATCCCCCAAATAAAATTGGTCACTCACTCCAAGGTTGTTTGTGGAACATTGCTTGCGCAAATGGCTGCCATGTTTCGCCCACAAAATACAATCAATCCACTTTACAGTATATCCTGTGAAGCAATTTGAGACGTGTTAATGAAATGAAAAGGCGCTATATTAAATGCAAGGATTATTATTCTAAAAGTTAATTAATTTATTTCACTTTCTGACATGTTAATCTGATTAATGGTACCTGAGCTCCTACCATTTTTTTTCCCAAAATGGATACTGTGAAGTCTTGAAGCATTGGCCCTTCCCAACCTGTACCTAATACTTGGGAATAAAAAAAAGTAACACTCTGGCCTTCATTGCTTTTAGCAGTCATGATCCGGGCAAATTCAACCTGTTTGTGGTTGGATTTTCTGGATAATTAATTGGGGGGAAAAACTTTCTACTGCAGTGAGGCGGAACTTCTGATACTTTCATTCATTCCTTATAGTTTGGAGTTTTGCACAAGAGTCTTTTGGGCATTGTCCAATATCACATTTGTCCAATAGCAAAGTGACTGTGTTTGGTTAGACATAGTTACTGCATTAACATTTATAATGCAGAAAGTTGAGGTTTGGTGTTAATTTTGGAGCAATTATTCAACATTTGAAAAGAGTTTAATTCTAGGAAAAATCTAGGAAGAATTTGTGTGTTTGTGCATGTGTTCTTTGTGTGTACAAGTTCATTTAAAGACGATCTTTTTGGAACATCTGAACCTTCACTTCTAACTTTGGAATACTGTTTGCAGAGAGGTATAAGTAAATGATTCATTCGATCGTGTTTGAGACAGATACTTACTGTCTAGCCACTTAGCCAGTTTGGTTTACAGAGGCATTTATGTGCATAGTTCTTGTAGAAAACGAATGTGGTTAAACTAAAGTATTTTGCTTTACTGAAGATTCTCAGTAACAGAATGCGTAATTTTTGTACACGTTGTACATTTCTATAAACCACAACCACCATGATTTTGAACACTAAAATATGAAACTGAAATTTAATGATTAAGTGTCTGGTAAGATTGCATTTTTTTTAAATAAGTATTTTTTAATAAAGTGAATAACGCAGAAAGGGCTGCATTTTTTTATTAAGAAAAGTACAGAAGGCTTGTGAGGCTTTGGAAAAATGTAATGTGCCTTACGATTGAAATAATCTTCCAATTTAAAAGCATGTTTTTTTTATGAAAAATCTATTGACATATCTTTAAATAAAAATATATCGCCCTTAACCAGTTTGAAATGACATTGATATTTGCACAATTGGTGGTGGTGATTCCCTGTGTCATCCTTCAGGTAGTCTTTTCTCTGTCATGTAACTTTTAGCATATAACATAAACACAGTGAAGCGGGAGGTATTTAACTAGGTTGGTCCTGTTCAAAAAATATAGAGCCGACGAGCAAATGGCTTAAGCAGGTTTCTTGATAAAGCAACCTTTTGCAACCACCCACAACATTTCAATTTGTTTTTTGTCACAATCTTTCCTGCCTTTCTGCACCTTACTGATAATATATAAGTCAATGCTTTTTTCTAAACCACCAAATATATAATTCTATATGCTCTTTCTCGTCTTTGCAATGTCACTGTATTATGATCAAAACTCTTACACTTGTTCTTTTCTAGGACCACAAGCCTATAATTCTTTCCCTCCTACAAATCCATAAGCTTTTAAAACCCAAGGCCTAGCATTCCCTCACCACTTCTTAATTTGTTATTTTCTCTTAATACTTGTTTCAGCTTGATGATGAACTGAGCTTTACATAGGTTCTCAATTTTCAAATAATTATTGCATACTGCTAGGTCCTTGTGAAAAAACTGAAAGATTACTCTTTTGAACATTTACTGTGCACACCTACATAATAGTATGATTACAATTTAGTATGTTGAAAGAGTGCCTGAAATTTTTTTCCATAACACTGATGCCTGTTTATAATAACCTTTTTCATTTTGCTGTAGAATAATTTTTCTTTCTTCTCTTTTAAGATACCGAAGATCTGGGAAAATGACTGGATATCCTTCCTATGTTTTAAAGGACTGTGAACATAAGCATAAACGTATTTGGAGCCTCTTATGTGCCGTTCATGTGAATCTTGGACCAATTTGTGGTGAAATCTGCCAACCTTACCTCAAAGGAAGCTGAATGACTGATGTACTCTGTGGCATTGAAGGGTAAAAGACCGAGTGGTAGTGAGGGCAGTGGAGTGGAGGGGGCTTGGGAATTCTAATATTTATTGTTGAAAAACAATTCATGTTATTGGTGGTCATTGAATAGAATAATTTGGAATGTATCTATTGAAGTCACTGCTTTGGGCAGACTGCTCTCATCGTAAATGTAATTATTGCAAAAAGAAATTCCCAATAGTATGTCTTGGACAAGGATTGGAAGGTCTTTTATGAATAAAACCAATTTTCTAAGTGTTTTTTTCATAATGTAATATAATAGTTTTAATACAATGTGTACGACAGAGTTATAGTCCAGTCACCCTATCTGCAGAATAACTGTGATGCATATTGGGCATAGTTTGCAAGTTTATTGGCATTCTACAGCATATGATTATCACAGCACATTAGAACACAAGCCTTCATCTAAGCTTGTTAGTTGATTAATTTATCTTCGTGCAGTAGCATTGATGTGCTCCAAGTGCACAAGTAGTGGAAAAACAATAATGTATTTAAAAAGAACTCCACCGTGCAATAAATGGAAATAGTTTTTCATCAATGGATTTGGTTTCATGTATTTGCGTAATGTTTTTTGTACTGATGCATATGTCAGCACACATTTGGTAAAATTGTTACAGCGGACAACACGTCCTACCTACATGGAAGTTCCAGATTGCTGGGAGGAGCTTATCTTAAGCAGGATGTGGTGTAGGCTCATGGGGGTTGTTAATCATCTTGTTGGCATAATACTTTTTTTGTACAGAAAGATCTTGGGTGTCAGGAATTTCCATTGTTGACTTCCCCGTCCTCTTTACTATCGTTCAGCGTGTGTTGAAGTAGAAGCTACCCATCACATGTTTTGTTTCCAATAATTCAACAAAGTAAGCAAGTCACCTTACAATCTTTACTTTTTCACTTGTAATAGCAACACTGGACATCGGTTATCTACCCTCTTGCAACATTTTATGATGTACTCCCATGCTGGCTCACTGAGTAAGTGTACACTGAAGTGGCCCTGAGCCAACAACAACAACTTGGATTTATATAGCGCCCTCCACACCAGACGGTGTCTCAGAGCGCTTTACAGTAACATAAAAGCCATAAAAAGATCCCAGGTTTGAAAGGTGTCCTGAGTTGGCTGCTGATAGCAGGGCTTCAGAGGACAAGCAACAGTTAACCTCTATTCTCCTGGGTTTAGGGAGGGGAGGAAAGTAACCTGTAACCCTGACTTACTATTTCTGGTCTCCCTCAAATTTCCCATGGGGGATGTATCCATATGTGGATATTAGGATAACGTTGAGTGTAATCCTCTCCCCCACCCCCCCAAATTGCTACATTTTAATACTTAATGTGAAGGATTGATACTGGTGTCCAGTGTCTTGTGGAACCATACTCTGCAGCATGAGCCAGTGTTTTCATCAGAGGAGAAAAGAAAAAAAAATCTGTTTGTGCAGCACTTTCCTCGTGCGATGACTTTAAAGGGGATCATGAATTGTAACTAGTGTCCTCATCTGACTTCACTGAAACAAAACTAGCATATCACGTGAACTGAAGAGCTGGACAGAATGTCAGCTTCACACTGCCTGAAACTAATCGGGCAATCCAGCAGTTCATTGTTTCTCTTAAAATACTTTACTTCACTCAAACATTCTGCTAATATCACATAAAAGGCAATAATCAATTAAAAAGATATTATGCATTGCACGCTATTCAATTTGGATTCCATAGTTTCAGACAAAACCTACATGGACTGAAGGGGTTTTCACTTTTGCTATTCTCTGCAATTTAAAACTCTACAGCCCACGTTCTCTCCCCTACCAAATTTTGTGAGCCGATCAACCTTATTTTTTCCCGGTTTCAATGGTTTCCACCCCCCAGAGAGGTTCAAGATTCTTGTCCCTCCCTCTGCAACCTATTAAAACTTCAACCTGTCTACTTCCTCTGCTCTGCAGGCACTGGCCTGCCCCACATCCCCATGCCCTGCTTGCCCTCAGCGGTCGGGCCTTCAATCTTTCTGTCCCCACCCTCTGGAACTCCGCCTCGCCCCCTCCCTTGTCTCCCTCAAGACCCGTCTCAAGACCTTTTTTTTCAACCATGCCTTTGGTTATTTTCCCTCCTCCACCCCACTCTGATCCCAACCCGTCACTCAGGTGCAAACCCCTCATTATCCAGCACCTTGGGATTTTCTTCCAATGTGAAAGGCTCTATATCAATGCAATTTGTTGTTTTAATTTTTTTCCCACAATTTTGTTTTGCCAAATTTACTTTCTAAAGGCATAGGTGGAAGTGCAGATTCACAGCTTCCAGCAGCCCTCTGATACCTTATTTAAGTAGCTATTCCTTATATCTGAATTTGGACAGCAAATGTCAGTATGCTGTTTGGAAACGGTCAATCATCAAGAATGGGTAGCAGCTTAGACGGTAGCACTCTCACCTCTGAATCCGAAGGAATCAAGCCCTGCATTGGGACTTCGAGCTCACAGTCTAGGCCCATGCTCCCAATATAATTCAAACATTCTTACAGCTGAGACATTAAGCTGAGGTCATATCTGTTCGTTCAAGTGGACATTAAAGATCTCATGGCACTATTTGAAAAGAGAAAGAATAAGCAGTCTCTCCTCATACCTTGGCCATCAATCCTTCAGATACAATTTGTCATTCACTTTATGGCTGGTTGTGGGACATTACTACATTACTGTTTTCGACTGCTGCGTTCATCTACAAATGCAGCCATTACGTTTAAAAAGAAATCTTGTAAGAATTTGTGAGACATCAGACTGACATGAAAGACACTATATCAAATGCAAGGATTATAATTTTTTATTAATGGGAACTCTGGCTGACTTGTTAACTGACTTGTTTTTTGTTAAAAACAATTGTCCTGCTTCATTTGAGATCAACTAACAGCATAGAGCGGGAATCTAACCTGCATCCCTGGGCTGTATGGTTCAGTCCTGCACCAGATGATGTCTTTCCCACTAGGCCAGAAAGGAAATCATATTGTTGAATCATTCAGGGTATTTGAAAACTTAACATGAAGTTTGTCAAACATAATGTAATTTGGTCCTGTGTGTCTGTGGGATATTTTGCTGCGTAAATTGGTTTTCTGCTTCTAGATCTTAAGTTACAATTATTCATAGCTCTTACTGTAAAGGAGTTTGTTATGACATTGCAGCAGCAGTGGCAGCAGAAATTGACCTGCTTATTTTTACACCTCATTGATAGCTCAGAGCAGCCTCTTTCATCCACATTCTGTCATTCCTATTGTTAAAACCACACTGTTTATGAACAAGATGGTTTTATCAGCAGCAAAGGTGGAAAAAGTATCAGAAAGAAAACCTGAAATGATTTTAAAACTGTGTATACACATGCTGCTATTGGATACACTACAGGTGAGTGTATGCACTTGTTTACCAGCGATCCAGCAAGTTACCCAATTGTTTGGGAAGTTCCATTCACGAGTAATAATAACAATAATAATAATAATAATCCTTGCATTTGATATAGCACTTTTCACGTCTTCTAGACGTGTAGTAACGCAAAAATCACCTTATTACATGAAGTGGAAAAATCAGGAGAGTGATGGAAATTTTTTTTGTTTTCAATGCTGCCATTTATAATAATAATAATCCTTGCATTTGATATAGCTCCTTATCACATGGCTCAGACATCTCAAAGTGCTTCACAGTATATACTGTAAAGTGCAGTGTCTGTGTATTTTGTGGGCGAAACTCAGCAGCCAGTTGTGCACAGCAATGTTCCACAACAGCCATGGAGTGAGTGACCAAATTCATTTGGGGGGTTTTGTGGGCCACAACACTGAGAGAAACTCCCTAATCCTTTCGAATAGTGCCATGGGATCTTTAACAGCCACCTGAACAGGTACTATGGGACCTCGGTTTAACATCTCGTCCAAATGACAGCACCTCCAACAATGCAACAGCCCCCTCCAGCACTGCATTGGAGTATCAGCTTAGACGATTCGATTCTAAGTCCTGACATGGGGCTTGAACCTACAATCTTCTGACTCAGACGCGTGAGTACTATGCGCCAGGCTGACGAACCATTTACACTCCAATTAAAACATTGCAGATTTAGATCCACCTCGGGGACTTTATTACATTTGAGAGCAATTAATTTTTTCTGTTTATTTTTTGTCTGCTGTTGATTTCAAAAGTTGCCCGTGGCGGATTGGCACCATAAATGTTTTTGAGTTTTAGTGAGCTCAGAGCGTAGCTGAGTCATAAGACCAGGCCAGTCACAAGTTTGATTTTTTGTGTATTTGGTGACATTCATAGTTGGAGAGTATTCCACTTCCTGATTGAATCCAGAGACCTGGGCGTGCATTTGTGTGGAAATAGGGTGAGAACAGATCAGGATTAGGCATCTCCAGACTGCCAGACCTCACTACTATGGCTTGCTTGGCAAAGTAACACCACTGGTACCATACCCACTGGCAGGAAAAAGGGGTCAAATTCCTTCGGGGAAGGACGAACATAAAGAATATTAGTGATAGTCTTACTATGTCTTTGAGGAAACATGAAGCTTTCTCAAGTTTTTTAATTTCCTGTTTTTCACAAAAGTTTCACATTGCTAAAATAAGCAAACACATAGTTGAATGCTATTTCAGGATTTTTTTGATGAACAATTTTGAATGTGGCTTTCAATGACAACTTCCACATTTAACATAAACTAACCGAGCTTTTTGGGGATTATGTATGTACAGATATTAATGTGATGTGTGATGGTAGAATCTTCCCTTCAATGACCCTGCACTGAAAATAACCATCTGAAATAGGATTTAATTTTCTGAAAAATAACCTGTCATCAATGGTAATAGTTTAAACAGGAATTATTATCTTAAGTGATTTTATCAGAGTTGAATTTAAAATATGCTTTGCTGTACTAGCAAATGGTGGCAAATTGTATGCAGTCCTTGTATGGCTTGCTTTTACAACAGACTCACTATATCACCCACCTAATTTATTGGTGCACTTCCATTGTACAAACTATTGATATATCGGAAGTAGCATCAGCAGGTAAAACGCTGATCAGCAATAAAGTTTATTGAAACATTTTAAATTTCTTGGTACCTCTTATTTTCCATTTTGAAAACTGGAAAACTGTGGTTGAATTTTAATATAAAACTTCTCAGAAATGAAAAAAACAATCTCACCTTAACAATGTGGATTTATTTATGGGATGAAAAAAACTCTTAAGAGTGTTTATATGAAATGTTCATAACATTCTGTAAACAAGAGCTTGAGACAATGAAGCAGAATGATCTCTTCATAGAGCCACTGATATGTATTTTGGTCTCAGTTTATGCTGTGAGCTACAAAGGTCACTTTTTAATCAAGTTTTAATCCGTCTAAAATGAGTATATTAGGAACTGTGCTCCATTCTTGAATTAATGTCTTTTGGGAAAATTCCAAGATAATTACATTGCAAGACATCTGTTCATGTTGGAATGTGTCTCCTGAAGTTGATAAACACAAGTTCAAGAACAAAGGAATGAGCAGCTGTGTT